CTACTATTTCTACCATTACTGCTACTACCACTACTATCACTACTACTACTACTACTAGTGTACTGCAGCACCCTTTTGTTACACAGTGTCTGTAATTTGTCGTTTAAATTCTCATTCAAACGAATCAGAGGAAACTTACTGGATAAACCTAGCATTCAGTGTACTCACTTATGCTACGGGGTGCGAGACTTAAGTATAGCTGCTCCATTTTCATGAACTCTGACGAAGGTCATAGGCTACGAAATATGCACAAACTAGGTGATATCCAACAGTCCCAGTATTCCACTGTTATACCAACCTATTTTAACAAAGTGTGTCAAATTAATTGGATTCTCAGTGTATTTACTACTACAGGAAACCGAATGCTTCTTGTGAATTGGAAGGGAAAAATGAACGGTTATTGAACTATTCCAACAGTTCATCACTGGGTAGTCTTTGACCAGTGGATAACACATAAAAACCATAATCGGTCCATTTTTGTCACCGGTTGATGTCAAAACAAACCATTGTCTGTGATTTGAGTATGATTAACCAATTGTGTAACATCGATAGTTTTACTACCCGGGAACAGTCGTGACAAAAGACGCTTGATTGTCATACAACTACAGGTCCCGTTGTGTATCTGCAAAAAAGTGAATTCGATTGGCATTCTCCCAGAGCTTCGAGAACAGCTGATGCAGTTGTCATAATCTGGCGACAGAAAATGCAACAGGTGCCTGGTTTTTTCATTCAGATGCACACGCACATAGCAAATAACTCCTTCTATCTGAAGAGAGAAGGAGCCGAGTCGGGATCTTTTGCACGAACTCCATTCAGTACAGGACAACTGAGAAACCAGACTGAAGACAACCGCGTCATCTCACACTACGTGAACTGAAAACCTCTCAGGCTAATCAAATCCGTCAGAACTAATCGATTAACAACGGAACGGTACACACTACGGAACTATGTGATGCGTGTTGACAGAGATGTCATACACGAGTCTACTTCTTCACTACTACTTCACTACTACTTCACTACTACTACTACTACTACTACTACTACTAGTACTACTACTACTACTACTACTACTACTACTACTACTACTCACTACTACTTCTTCACTACTCTACTTGGTTTTCTGTATCCCCTTAGATTCAAAGATAGAATTAAGAAATCAGTTTCGCGATCCCCTTTTTTACTTGCGGATGAACAAACTATCACAAGATTCATTCGTTTGTATTCTCGTTAAAATACTGGTTCATTGATGCGTCATATATTATCCTCCTACCTCTGTCTATCCATGAAAATCAGTTGACTGAGCACCACCCCTTACACTGAACATTGACTGTGTAGTCATCTGTTCAAGAACAATGACTTAAAGCATTATTATAATGTGAAACCATCACTTGTTTCATCCATGTAAATTGTTCAGAGACACGCAAACATGGGCCCAATATACGTCCGGGCCAGTCATCTGTGAGAATTGTCATAATAAGTCCAACTGGTGTTTGGTTTCGAAGTTGGGAACGATAACTTGCACATATTACACAAATCCCGCGGGATTTGAACCGTGGTAACCTACTGGCGCCCTGTCAACACTATGGAATCTGGCACTTAGTTGTTTTTTTTTGATAAATCAGTGATTATAATCATACTCTTATTGCTTGTTTGCTCAATCGCATTGATTGGGCTTTGGGACAAAACTGACACGGTGATTCTAATGTGTATTTCGACGAACCACGATGAGATTCAGGTCATCTGGTGATGCAACTCACATGTCACATTCAGGAAGAAGATAGCCTTGGATTCGGCTTCGGGGTTTGTGGCAACTACAGTATAGTTGGCCATATGCTTTCGTGTGATCCGATGTAAAGCCAACAATTCACCATTGCGACCACTGGCGAACACACCTTCCAACTCGGATTTGTCGGTCGGTTCCAGGAGCAGCGGTAGTCCGTTGACAAACCAGCTCATTGAGGTGACTGGTGGATTAGCGTACGGTCCCAAATCCAGACTCATAGTTTGCCCTGGTAATAAAAAATACATACATAGGGAAAAGGAGGTATATTAGAAAGGAATGACTGTTAGCGGATTCTAATACTCCAATGGAGGAGAATCGTTTCTCCGACGAGCTTACTTTGATGTCCATATTCAATTTGATTCAAATATGATCACCGCATTAATAGTAGTTAGACATGTTTCCTTAATTGTTATCGCTAAATGACTACTTGCTACTGGGTGAAGTACAAATGTGCCATTATTGAGATAGTGTGTTCCATTTCTGCAATTGATGAGATAAACACAATGGAAGTTTGTATGTCGAGATTGTGAAAAGTTCAGTAGCCTCGGTGAGATTCGAACCCACGCATGGACGCCGCCTACGTTTTGTACGCACATACTCTACCAGCTGAGCTACGAGGCCACACCGATAACACTGATCTTTTCACCGAGGCTACTGGACTTTTCACAATCGACATAAAGACTTCAAATGTGCCAAAACAACAACTGAAACCATTGAAATTCCAAATAAAAACCGGAAGGAAGGCTTGTTGAGATGCACAGTTAAAATATACAGTTTTCTTCTAATGGTACAATTTACAGACAGACGTATGGTTTAGTCATGGATTCACCACTTGTCCCGCTTCTAACAGAGATGTTCGTAGCTACACCGGAAACTATGGGATATCATTCATCAAACACCCACTGTACAGTCGCTATGTCGACGATATGTTTATCTTTTCAGGTCGGAGCATTTTGCCGAACATAATATTGGATCATTCAAACCGCCCTCATCCATCATCCATCAGTTTTACAATCGAAACAGAAGATCATTGTACGTTTCATTTCCTTGACGTTCACCTCAAGAAGAGATCAACTGGAAAGTTGTACTATTAGACTTTTAACAAACTAACACGAAACGGTCCATACAACTATTTCCAAAGTTTCTTTCCAATCACATTTAAACGAAACTTATTACAGTTTCTGACCTTTCTAACTCCAATAATTTGCTCTTAGGGTTTAATGGGGGAAGAACTAGGAAATATAAAATCCACATACCTGAATAATCCGTACGCAGAACGTTTCACTGAGAAGAAAATCGCAGAAAAGCCCACACACTGTCAAACGCAATCCGGAACAAAATAAAAGAACTATTCATGCAGTACTCATTCAACGGAGATTCGAGTGTTAGTCTACGGGGAGAAGACATGTGGGAAAAACGGTCACACAAACGTATTCAGCTGCCACTCTACGCGCCGCGTTTAGAAATCGGCCAAAACTCTGTCGAAACCTCAAGCATAAGCTACCCATTCGCCCTTCATCCAGGTTACAAAATCCTTCACTTGCACATTTTACGGCAAGTTATGTAGGACGAACGATGAGAGAGAGTTTTCAAATTGGCTTAGAGAAGATAAGCCGGCCGACTAAGCAGGGGGTTCAAGAAAACAGCAGCCAGTGCCATTGTGGCTTACCTCTCTGATACCGAGCACCAGAGGGACAATGATGCATTCAAGTCCTCTACCAGGCGCCATATGAGAAGTGAAAGAACGTTCGGCAACATCACTTGGTAACAATATGAGCCGTAGCAATCAAAATTCTGAACCCTCCACTATATGCAAGCAGAAGAAAATGATTGCTCTATTCCGGTTGCCTTGGTTTCGTGACGAACCGAACCGTGGCTTCAATCGCGTCGTGTTGATGCAACATGGCATGACACGTGTTAAAAGGTGATCGGAACTTTCCAGAATAGACCTTGGTCACCCTCTCTTTCTCTGAGTACATATTTATATACACAAATGTGTGTTTGTGTGTGCATGGATGTGAGCGCGGTGCACTTTTTTATCTCCTGAACTTGCAACCAATTCACGAGTGACGTAATCGCCCCTCAAGTCGTGACATGTTAGGAGATTGAACTAAAAATTCCCTACTAATAGCAGTAAAACTCACAGGACAGGCAATATGTAAGCATTGATAAATTGCATGGATTGCAAGTGAGTAAGTACGGAATCTAGGGGAAATTCGTGGCGCGTACAAGCCACCTAGTAACGACCAAGCGTTCAATTGACTTAACTTGTCTCTAAAAGGCAGTAAGCACACCGGCGATATTTGCTCACCGCCTCTAGTGAACAAATCAGGAGAGCTGTTCGGTTGTATTCTCACTGATGAGTGATATCGACTGTTCCCTATCAATTGGTGCAAGTTCCCACAGGTTTACTCCGCGTGCTGTCTGTTTAATGCTTTATTTTTACCACGTCTTAATTGTTGAGTCAGAAGTGTGTTTAAATAAAACAAGCGTAAAGCAGAACACTGGAAAAATTTACTCCTAAAATTTTTTATAGGGGACGGTCTTAGTCTGAGCCGTTTTGAACACAAACGAATCAAGTATGCAATGGTAACTCCGGAAATACCCTCATCGCGTACGTGAATTACCGTTATCAAGTCCGAACGAACCGAGACAATACACACGTAATTCTATTATTTCCGCCGCATTTCGAAAGATATCGTCAGTATTTCAGTGACCAGTCGTAAATCGCACGGCTCTAACATGCTTGAAGATTCAGTAACTTTGAATTTGTTATTTTGTTCTGTCATAAAAACAGCCCATTCATTGAGCGTTAGACCTTTGAACATCCAAATTGCAACTTTCTCGGAACTCCTTGAAAATATTAGATACAAAGGGGATTCCGGAGAAATTTTCCCATCCCGTGAAGAGTCCTTGTTCGAGGATTAGAGGAACAGTCGAACGCAGCCCGGCTAACTCAACAAGCTTGCGTTATCTTGAAACGCACATCACCTTGATTTTCCCAAGCCCCGTGGATGCATTTAGCTAAAATACCCGCAACTATTTCGCTTTTGGCATAGAGACCGAAAGGTGCCGAGTGGGCTACTGCTTCATACGCGGCAAGCCGGGATATTGGACACAACGTTCCCGATTCAGACGTCTCCTGACAGGGAACATGCACATCATGTTTACGAAAAGCAATACAAAGGTAGCCCCCATCTGAAGAACTGTAATATATCCGGAGGATTAAATAGCACTCCAACAAACGATCGATGCAGCCCACCGATGGTCAATCGCCAATGATATCGATATCAACGTTTCCAAATGCAGAGTTATCTCCATGCGGCATAAGATTCGTTTCTCCTATGTTCTGGGGGACCAAATATTACTGCACTCCACTGACGAAAGGGATTTGGGAGTTGTGGTACAGGAGGACGTAGGATGTCCCACGCACTGTGCCAGAGCACCATCCATGGCTGCATGTTAGACTACTCAGACGTGTTTTTGGGCAGTTCGGAATAGGACTCTTCCCACGCTTGCTATCAGCGTTCATTCGGCCGCACACAGTGTACGCCGTTCAATTTTGGAATCCGTGGTTGAACCGTGACAAAAGAGCTCTAAAATGTCTTTAAAGACTGGCAACAAAATTGATAAAGGGTCTGCATAACGAGACACTCTGAAAGACTGCAAATATTGAGACTCTACTAATCTCAATAACGCCGAATTCGGGGGACCTCATCTTTGCATTTCACATACTGCCGTTCTATGCTAACTTCATCTCAAAATGATCAACTAAGGGGACATCAACTAAAGTTGAAGACCCAGAATAGCCACCTTGATTGCTGGCATCACTCGTTTACAGTCGGAGTATGTGGCGCATGGAATTATCTTCCATTTGATGTAGTGTGTGCTCCTACAGTTAAACTATTAAAATCGCAACTTGATAAAGCATCGGAACACCTAAATTTCCAATATCCGGGAATGATCATGCGTTGTACCATCATTTTGATTTTCTCTTTTTCAAAGTATTCAAAATATTCTGTGGAAATCCCGTGGGGCATGTTTAGCCTTAGTTTTGTTGAAACTTTGACTTTGATTTCTATGGAATTAAAATCGATGGTGACCTTCATGGACTTACTAATACTTTCCGATCTTGACATTTAAGTTTTCTGCGAGAGCCTCGCCAACAATCTCAATTATGTATGCCGCCCTCACGTGAGGATTCACATATAGCCCAGGGACTTCGTTTCCAATAGACTGGAATGGTTACGTAAGCTAACAGAGGAGGCGTATCGTACAAGAGAGTGACTGTTAACTGTGCCAACTTTCATATCAGTCATTTCAATCAATTGTATGTTGACCCCATGCCAGGGGACAAATCCTGCCAGCAGTTATGGAATGGACTGAAGTTTCTCCTGAGGCCGTTTAACCGTGTCTACTGCAGTTCCGTGTGACATCGATGAGCTCAACAGATCTTTCGCTTCGGCGAACGATGTTATGCAAACATTAACGAGACCCGGTACAACATCACTTGGTGTATATCCTCCGGCGACTGTCACCATAGAGTATTCAAAATATTCTGTAGAAATTCTAGGGGCATGATAAGCCTTAGTTTGTTAAATCGCCCTCATAAAACTTTGACTTGGATGGAATTTGTGAAATAGTCCCATAGACAATGTAGAAAACGGTATTCGCGAGTGAAATTTCTTTTCGATATATCACATCAGGCGTTTACATATATAACGTGATCATAATACAGATGTCTGATTGGCCGATTATAGCTCAGTTAGTAACGATGACAGGGGCGAGCAAACAGATCAAACCAATATGACAAGGCTAATTAGATTGTCGTGGGTGAGGGTGAGAACACAAAAATCCAATGGACAAAGGTTCGAGAGATGACCAGATGAAATGAAGGTTGTGAGCTAAGACGAGAGAGCGGGGTGAAGTTACGTAATATACGGTAGAAACTATAGGTTATGCATAGCAAGTGATGTAATCAGGAAAGGACATTAGAGACAAAAACAAGAAAATTAGCTCTTAAGATTGGGGTTGATGATACTGGACGAAGAAAGCGGGTTGGGGAGGGGGTTGATGCTCTGTTTTATGCACAATCAATCCGTTGACCAGGCCAGGGCAACATCAGCATCTATATATCTATATGTTTTCACGTGCACTTGTAGTGTGTGATACATTGGACATACGACCAGGCGATTATTAAAACGTACTACTGAGCACT